GGGAAAAGAAAATGGCATGCTAATTCTAATTCAATAAGTTTGGGGCAGTCAGGAGTAAGACTAGACCACACACATCGAATAATTGGTATTTTTTGTTTTGCTAAGAACTAGAGGGAAAGATTTATAGTCGATTTTCTTGGAGAAAAAATTTGAATAAATTACCTTCGTTCCAAAAAAATAAGCGTAAACAACTAATCTATTTGTTTTAATAATTAATTTACACATACATATATTCATTCATAAATAAAAATGAGAATACAAAATATTTTTGTTGATTTATATAGAAAAGAAAAAGTGCACTGCCAGATGCCAGGGATAAACAAAAAAGCTGACTATTTTTACCAATTTTTATTCTTATTATAAAGAAGAATATAAAGAGTTAAGAGGTAGCTTAGCTTTGCAGTGAAAATAAAAAGAACGAAATCGGATGTCTGCAGGCAGACAAGCCGCGCGCGCGAAACGTAACTCAATTTTGGTGTTGAAAAATTTTTTCGTTGAACTTTGCCTACTTTTTGCTTCTCCGCGGTTTCTCACTTTATTTTTGTTTTCCAAAAACTCACATCACTTTTTTTCTTTTTGGTCGTTACATAAGTGGTGGTTGTGAGAAAGATAATGAAGTGGTGGAAGAAAACGGAATTATAAAAAATATTCGAGGAGCAAAAAATCAAGGGAATTTGGAAAATTTTAGGTTTAAAATATGATATACAGAGTTTTTAAGAAATACCTAGGAGTACGGTGATTTTGAAAAACCTTGAGCCACCTTGGTTTTACGATATACCGTAATTTTTTGTCTGGATTTTCTCAACAGGTCCGACTGGTATTCAACAAAATTTAGATTGATGAATTGGAAAAGGACCACCCACGATGTTTTTCCCATAGGCTTGAATATTTTCGCCTTTGAAGTACATTTTGGACTAACATCATTTTTTTTCGAGAATCAAACTATTCATTTCCGCCACACTTGGCCTCATTTTGATTATGACGTGACTTGAAAAATATTCATGAAAAATTGACAGACTTTTTCTGGGAAGATCTCAAATCTTTGCGAAAAATTCGAATAAAAAAGAAAAATCTTCAAAAATTTTGTTAGAATCGAATTCATTCACGCTTAAATGCGCAATTTCCGCTCGAAAATTTTGGTTTTTTTTTTTTGAAAAAAAGAAAAGAAGGAAGAATGAGGAATGATGAGAGCAAAACATATTAATGAAAAAATCCGTGCGTTTTTTTCGCACAAAAGACACCTGCTCGTTATTCTTTTCATCTTTCTTTTTCCCCCAAAAAAATTCATCATCAAAGATGAGAAAATTTCGGGTTTTCTCACACTTTTTTTTCAAAAAAAGTGAAGTGAGAAGTAATAAAATTCAAAGTGATTTATTTTTTTTTCGAAAAAATCACTTTTTTCACACACGAGAAAATCTTTATATATTCCTGTTTGCTCGAAAATAGAGAAAACCGCGAAGAAAGGGAATATATGCAGACATCAGAAAACATTTTCAGACAGCGGAAATATATTATTTGAAAAAAAGAATAAGAAGAAGAAAAAAGAAAAAAAAACAGAACACAATAGGAAAATGGAAAAAAACGAACACGAAAGAAAAACCGACTGAATTCGGAATGAAACAAGTGCAAAAATCCTGGAATGAGAAAGAGAGGTTTTGTTGGAAATCTGCGTGTCTGAAAGTTTGAGTTTTCGGATTTTTGAATTAGTTTAAGAAACATTTGCCAAGTTTTCAGAAGTTGATTGGAGCATTCAATTGAATTAGAAAACCAAATAAGAAATCATGAATTTCACTTTCGATAGATTTTGTACTATTTGATGAGAAAATTTAATCTAGCCTTACCAGTTAACTGAATTTTCATCATTTAATGCCTTAGATTCTATTATTTCAAAGGTTCAAAAATACATGAACATGAGAACCTAAAGTAACATTTGGAACCTATAAAAGCTGTATCAATTTCATGAAAAAAAGTCTCAAAAGATCAGAAAAATATATAATAATAATAATAAAACCTCTCCTAAGCCTAACTCTACCTAAATTTATTTATTTATTTATTTATTTATTCGTCAAAAAGTTGTACATTTGATTGAATTTATTGAGTAAAAGGCGAAAAGTGAAAAGAACGCTGCTCGCGCGAAGCAATAACATCAAGAAAAACTAGGAAGAAGAAAAAAATGCCGAGAAAAATATAATTGAATGATTAAAAGGTCCTGCTTTTGACATTGCACTTTTCTTTTCTTTCCATTTTTGTTTGTAAGATTTTTTTGAATGAAAATGAAAAATTTTGGATAAAACCACATGAGGAAGGAAAAGTAATTATTTTCATATTTTTCTTGGAAAAAATGCACTATTCTTTTTTTGAGAAAAATAGAGTAAGAAAACAAAGTAGAAAATGAAAAAATGAAAAAAAAAGTTCCAGAATTCTCTTGAGAAATTCTAACATAAAATGCAACTTGGCATTTTTTCTTTTTTCTTAACGCGCATCACCACAACAACACAAAACGAAGCGAAAAACGAAAAACGAAAAGCACGGAGAGATTCAGTTATCGAAAAATGTGCTCTTGGGAAAAATTTGACGAAGAGAAGAGCAAAAATGCTCTTTTTTTCGAGAAATGCTCCTTTTTGTTCTTCTTACTACTACTTTTGGATAGACCAACTTTTTTCAATCATTTTTTTCGAGAAAATTTGAGAAAATCATTGAACAAGGGATGAGAAAATTCACAAAAAAACCAGAAACATTTCTAATGGCAACCGAAATTTGATCTTGCTAGCTTTTATGTTGCATCTCAAAAGCACCAAAAAAAGAATCTTTTTTAGAAAATGAAAAAAAAGTATCAAAAGAAAAAATTCAGGAAAAAATGAAATAAAATATCTATCTATCAGCTTCTAATTTGTTTATCATGCTCCAGAAAATAACAATTTTTGAGAAATGATGTTTTTCCTGGGCAAAAAAACGAAAATTGAAAAGAAAAATTGAACGTGATCAAGAATCATGCTCCGATTTTGTTGATGGGAGCTTTTATGATCTACAACATAAAGTTTTAGCACCTGGCAGAAATCAGGCGAGTGGAACTTGTTTGTTGACTATTAATTTTGGGATGGATGGATGGATTTTGTGTTCTGAATTTTGAAGTTTTATTGGGAAGTTATAGTCGAACAAAAAACGTGAAAAAGAAATTTCACAAAAAAATGAATAACAAAAGTTTGAATGATAAAAAACTTTGGAAAACTCGAAGATTTTTCCGCTCATCAAAGTACCACACTAGAGAACTGCAAAAGATTATCAATGATTATCTTGTATCAGTTTTGGAATTCCTTGTTTTTTCGTCACATTTTTGTTGGTTCCTACAGTACAGTTTTATACAGTAGCCAAATCTACAGTAACTACAGTAACCAAACAAATGTATCTCAACATTTTTCAGCTTGATTTGCAATATTCGTATTTCAAAAAAAATATTGTTTTTTAATCTCGAAGTATCACATGAAAAATAAGAAATATATTTTCAGAAAAGAACAGTAACCCAACTGATATAACTTTAAAAAATTCTAAACACACCTGGACTTTTTCTGGAGAATCCAAAATCGAATCAAAAAGTTCAGAAAAACTAATTTCCAAACGAGTCTCATTAAAAACTGCACTTTTCTTGCTTCTCAAAAAAAACCTAACAAAAAATTGTTCCAAGTAAAAATATTCTGCACTCTTCTCAATTTTTTTCCCAAAAGTACATATCGCTTCTTTTTTTGTTTGAAACCTGATACACAGCCGACTGAATCGGATCCGCATAAGATAAAACAGTTTAATAATTCAGAAACTGAGCAGGAGAAGAAGAAGAAGAAGCAGGATGGAAAAAAACAGGAGAAGGAGAAAAATTTGAAATTGGATTCTGGCAGAAAAAGAGGAGAAAAGGAGATGAAGATGACTTGTCACTCAACATATCCTATTCATTTCATTGCTCTCTTCTATATCCATTTCTTTCATACTCAAAAGCAACATCAAAATGTTTGATGAAAAGAAAAAGAAGAAGAAAAATAATTTTCGGTGTTTCCTGAACTTGTTTGGTGCATGCATGCTTTTTGGGAGGAGAAAGTATATAGTTTGGGTGTTTTTTTGGTGCTTCTGGACCACCCATAAAGGAAAATGGGGATTTTTGAAATCGGAGATCGGAAATATAGAAAGTGGATGTTACCTAGATCAATGCAAAATTTTAACTTGAGAAATTTGAGTTAAAACTAAAAATATGTTGACAAAACCTCTTATATCAAAAATTAGGAAATTCTAATTTCAGTAAAAAGCTGACTTTAAACTGTACAACGTTCCAGAAAAGTGAGAATTTTGATTCAGATTTGAAGAAATTAAAAATATTTCCCTTGTTTTGAGCACCAAAAAAGGAAACTCACCAAACCCTGACCAACACAAAGAAATTCTCAATCGTTTTTCATTCTAAGAAACCAAATCCAAATCCAAGAAAAAAAAAGAAAACTCGCACATATTTCAAACAACCAACGGTATAATTTGAAAATGCTCATCTCTCTTTTCGATTTCTTCTAAATCCAAGCCTTTAATTTCTGCTCGCGTCCCATAAATTCAGTATACAACTTATTATTTTCAAATCCTACCCATCAAAAAAAAACGAGAACGAGAAAAAGAAAATTACTGTTTCTCTTGAGGATTTATGGTTCAGTTTTTTTGAACACACAAAAATAGGAAAAACGCGAAAAAAATAATGACAATATGCATTTTAAATAAATTGGAAAAATGAATGCAATTATTTTGTTCATCTTTTTTTCTGCTCGTTTTCTTCTTGAGTAAAAATAGAAAAACACGGTGCAATTTTTTTTATTTCAAAATACATGTTGTGTGTGCAGATTACAAAATATTACAATTTTCAGGGTTGGGGAAAAGGGGTGTCAAAATATATATGGGTCTGACAAAAAACGACCACTTGCGAAGAAAGGTGCAGCTAATGTATGTGAAGGAATTATGATGGAGAAGTTATTCAATTATTCTTGGAGACCAGCCGATCTCAAATTCTCACTGACAATGTGTGCAACAGCGGAGCCAAAAACCTGAAAAAAATTTATTTTTTAGAAAAAGACTTATGTGTTAAGAAATCCTAGTTATGAAAATTAGAATTTTAACAATATTTTCTAAATAGCTTCAAAAGTGTCTCATATTCTCATGAATTAAATTTTCCATACCAAGTCCAAATTAGTTGTGTCTGTGGCATTTGTTTCAAAGCTGAAAAATTTGTGACGATTATTAATGCATCGTCGAAATTGCTTTTTAATATAATCTCGACAATCATTTGGTGAATTATCACCATCATAAGAGCTGAAACTGCGGCGAAGTGGAGAATTTGGAAGTTTGTCAAGGAAGATATCGTATTTGTTAAGAAACAAAACAATGGAAGCGTGACGGAATAAATCAGATTGGACGATTGTTTTGAAGATCTCGTAACTTTGACGGAGACGGTTCTGGAAAATATGTGTTGGAAAAATTGTGATTTTTTATAAAAGAGAAACGTTTTACCATTCTGCAGTCTTCTGGATCTAATTGATCATAATCACTGATTGATACGACGAAAAGAACCATGTCGACGTTGTCGAAACAATGAATCCATTTTCGTCTTTCAGTACGTTGACCACCAACATCGACCATTCTGAAAACGGGTAATAATTGAAACCTTGAATCATATTATACTTTTGAAAAAATGTTCAAGAATGTTTCACCCATGAACTTAAAAGTCTATACCTGAAATCCATTTTCTTGTAATTGAATGCAATCTCATTGATTCCACTGGTCGAAATTCGACAATGAACAATATCTTGTGCAGTCGGAACATATACATCTTCGGTCAAACGAACTATGTTGTCCAAAAAACTGAAACAACCCAATTAATTCATCCACAGTTTTCTGAAATGAGTACTCACTATTTCGCACTGTCAAGAAGTGCAAAACTGAATCTTCTGGTTTCAAAGCAATTTTGAACAGATGTACTTTGCCAAATTCGATCCATACATCGACCAATTACAACTGGTATTACAAGACCTTCCGGATCTTTGAGTTTACGCTTGAAATCTCGAAAACGGTCAACGTCTTCCTAAAAATTTTGTAATTTATTTCAATTTCTTCTATTGGTTTATATACCTTGACTGAAAGATCGTGATAAATATGAAAAGCGTCACATGCTTCAAGTAATTGTGTCAAAGCTTCCATACAATTTGCATGGATAATTGAAAGATATTCATATGAATCTTCCTTGCTGAAACCATCCATATGAAGAACTCTGAAAGATGATTTTTGATGAATTGAAAAATGTGGGTTTCTAGGCAACCGGATATATACCGTATTTTATGAACAGAGTTATAGTCATATTTATATTCTGACGTGAGGAGGACTATTTTGGGAAAAAAAGATAATCATCGAGACAACACTTTTTACTTTCTTTAACAAAAAAAGGTGATATCACTTTCCATGCGGTTAGAAATCATATTTCGGTAATAGTTTTATACAATTACGAAAATTAGGTTCGAGAATTATAAGGTTACAGTAAACCGAACATGTTCGGCAAACATTTGAATAAAATCTGGAAAGAAGAAAAGTAAATTGAAATTTTCTGTAAACAGACAAATACCAGGAATGATTGAGATATTTCCAGAGAATGCATTTTTTGAAAAGTCTACTGGAAAACTTCTAGTTTTCATAGGATATTCCTTCTGAAGTGGTTTTGCGGAGCTCAGAACTAGGTTCTCTCGTCTACCTATTAGGAACAGAACACTGCTGAAGATTTTTTTTGATCCCAACAATGCCGAAGAAGGAATACACATTGGTTGGAAATCTCCTTCATGTCTACCTATATACCAACCTCATCTGTTTGAAAATTGTGCTTTTTCCACATTCACTTGTGCCTAATAACAAAATCTTGAACCGATTCATATCATTCGAATGATCTTTGGACAAAATTCGATCAATGGCCCGTGATTTCGAACTGTTTGCCCGTTCTTCTGCCGAAAGTCGAGAACCCCGTAATCCAGCTGCACCGGCACCCATTACTGCATTCGCCCAAACCGTCTGTTTTTATCCCTTTTTCCTGTTTGATTATCTGAAAATAATCAGGTGATCTTTGATATTAATCGTACAGAAAGAAAGACAAGTTGAAAGTTTCTCGAGTTGTCATGGAAATTGCCAATCCAGGCAGCTTTTTAATATGTTTTTCTTTATGTTTTTTATATGAAAATCGGAATTTGACGGTTTCCTAGAGACAAACTAAGGAACGGTTGGGAGGAAAAATGGAAAACAAAACGGCAAAAAGAAAATAAAAACAAACATACTAAAAGAAATTCCGATGGTGTTCACAAATATATTCGTTCTAATTGTTATTCTATTACAAATTGGTAAGTATCACGCGATTTTCAAAATAATAAGATTTTCTCGAAAGAAATCACACGCAATTATGCAACCCCACCCCCATAAATCGTTATTTTTCTATTTTTTTCGAGGAAAATTTTTAGATTGTGGGAAAAATTTTGTAGTCTAAAAAATTCATAATCATTTCTCTTTATAATAATGAGAAAAAATTTTCTTGAAAATCAATCAATATGATTTGAAGAAAAAATCAATATTGACATGAAAAAGGGAGAAAACACACACAAAGTAAGAAGGCTGAAAATGAAAAATAAATAAGGTGAGAATAAGAAATCGCGGAAAGAAAATGCAGGCGGAGACATGTTAGATGGAGAAAAGAAATCACTGTGCTGTATGTATGTTCTGCCATTTTCGTCTTCGGAATTTAATCAGAATGAAAAAATAAACGGCGACAAAAATCGCAGGCAGGTGTATGCCCTCCGAAGGCGAGCGCGCGTTTTTCTCGAGACATTTATTTGGTTAGGTTTCGGATTTTTATGGGTGTGCTGCCGCTGCTACTGCTGATTTTTTGATATGTTTCAGACAGAGATCTGTGGTGTTGGGCTGAATTTTGTTTTGAGAAGTTGAATTGAAGAAAATGAAATAATAATAGCAAAACTACTGTAAGCCTCACTTAAATTTAATGGAAGAAAAATGAATTCACACGATTACCTGAAAAAAAATTCAAAATTGTATTATAAGTTTTTCGTCTAAATTTTTTGAAACTACAGTAATTCTAGATTTCATGACCAATTGTATATTTCAAAAAATATCAAAATATAGTTTTCAATATTATCAAAATTATTTTCCGAAATCATTTTTCGAAACCTAATTGAAACATTTTTCCATTAATATTCCGAAAATTAAACTTGTTCAATGAATTTCAGCGACGATTAGATCGTTTTAAATTCACTAGAAGACACGACTGCAATTATGTTAGCTACAGTAACCCACACAATTGAGCTTTTTGAATTATGTTCACACAATTAGCCAAAATTGAGCTCTGTATTTTTTGTCTGGAAAATTGACTAGGTATTTTGAAACTTATGGAAAAGTGAAATATAGGTGAAAACTTTCTTGGTGGTCTTAATTTCATGGTAATTTTCTAATCCGTTCTTATCACTCTTATAAATCAAAAACTGAAACACCAAGTCTAACAAACTAACACCGAAAATCAAAAACGATTTTCTAAAACCAATTATCCCTACTCGATTTGCTTTAACTCTTGTCGCTCGCAAAAATAGCCTACACACATTTATGTATATCAACCACCAAATAATATATCTAATAAATCCATAACGCAGATGAAAATTTGCCTGTTCGTCTAGACCTCAGGGCAAAAAATATAGATTTCTTGAGGGGCGTTCTTATGGAATTTTGAAAAAAAAAGTCGATGAAATGGAACAGGTGAAATTTGGAAATTTTTCGAGAAAATTGGATTTTAGAATAAATTAAAGGTTTCAAAGAAAAATGGGAATATGAAGCTTTTCTAATAACATAACATTTGAAAAATGAAATTTTGTCACTTTTTCAGAAAAACTATTATTCTTCAAAAACAGATTTTTAGGAGCGATTCAAGGTGAATGCCCTTGTGAAGGAATTGTTATTGATGGAACTGACCAAAGTCATTGTTGGCAATTAGAATCAAGACAATATACAACTTGGACATCAGCTGATACAGCGTGTCAATCTGTTGGTGGACATTTGGGGCATCCGGATCAATCAGATTTCGAAACGGTTTGGAACTATGTGAAAGGCAACACAAGTTTACCAGTGATAACTGGAATTGTGGCGGGGAATGTTGAAATACCGATTTATGCGAAAATGTGCCCAAATAATGTGTTTTATGGAACCATCAGCAATACTACAGATCTTTTTTCAAATGTAAATTTTAAAATTTAGAAAAAAATATGAACTCATCTTGATATGGGGCTAGGTTTCAGTTTTTTCTCAAAGTCTTGAGCCGAAAATTTTGAAAATTCACAAGTTCTGAAGATAGATGATTAAAAATATTCCCACTCACAAAATCATCTCCTACAGACCGCGTCTTTGAACGAAACGTGCTCATTCATGACAACCGACACCAGCGAACTCGTTTTCAAATCGTGCTCAACAAATGCAAAAGTGTTATGTGATCGACGTAGGTTTTTCCCCAGAAATCAGGTGCTTTTTTCCAAAGTTTAGAAATTATCAGCAAAAAAATAATATGAAAAATGAAAAGAAAAGAAAAGAAAAAACTAAAAGTCAAGAAAAAAAGAAGACGAAAAATGTAGTCCTGTTTTTCTCGAAGAAAATTTGTACTAGGCTACAAATTTCAGCTCTCGAGAAGGATGACTATTGCTCTATAATGGCTAATTGCACAACAACTACTACATCAACTACTGTAACTACAACCCTATCTGACTCAACCTCAGTACCTACAACCACAACAACATTGACTACAAGTACAGAAACCCCAAGCACTTCATCTCCATCAACATCTGAAACTGAGTCAACATCAACAACAGAATCCACATCCACATCCACCTCAACTACAACCTCAACATCCACCTTAACTTCCACTGCATCTACAGAAATTCCTGATTCTGTAGATTCTACCACTTCTACCGTAACCACAACCACAACGACAGCTTCCAAATCCGATACATCAACCCAAGCGTCGGCATCGGCCACAACTTCATCTTCATCCACAAAATGTTTGAAACATCAATTCAAATTGTTTGGAATGTGTATTGATTGGAGAGCTCTTCTTGCGATGATATTGATCAGTCTATTGATTTTTCTATGCTGTTGTATTTGCCATTTTTGTTTGTCCGCTTGCATGTGGTGCAGTCCGAAGAAACGTGAGAAGGAGTGAGTTTATTAGATGGTTCAGTTTTATGATTTCTAGAAAATGTCACACTTTTTTCAAAAATCTCCATTTCCCCGAACCCCCTTATCTATTTCAAAAATAACTTTCGAATGTTTCCATGGTCCGCGATCCAATTCTTCCCCTTCGATCCTCCATTGCGCCTGTAAACTACGACGAAAAACCTGATGTGATTCTCCCGCCACCCGCAGTTCTTCCCGAACCAGTGATTATAACAGTTCCTGAGAAACACGAAAGTGTCTATGGTTTCCATTCCAAGGAAGTTATTCATATTCATCCGGAAAAACCTGAAACCAGAGAAATTGGTATTGTTTTCGATTTTACATATAAACAAATTTCGACATTAAAATGTTTTCAGGCGTTATGACTGAACCAATACTCGAAGTTGTCCCTGATGTTGTAGTTGTTGCTCCAGCTCCAATTGCAAAACGCAAAAAAATTGTTAAGGTATGTTTTTTCTCAATTTACAATAGAAGATAATTAGCTCCATTCAACTTAAAAAAAAGTTTTTTTCTAATAGAAACCAAAAAAAATGTTTATCCCCTCAACAATTGATCCTATTGATGAAGACATTGCTGAAGACGTACCAATTCCTGATGTTCGAGCTGAAAGTCCTGGCGGAAAATCGATTGCTCCAATGGGTGATGCTTTTGGATTCCAAAAGAATCCCAAACCTTTGGGTCCTGAAATGGGAGATTTTGAGAATCCTCCTAAAAATTTGGCAGAGGATGATGCACCGAAACCTGTAGCTCCTAAAAAACCTGCGGCACAAATCCCAGATCCAAGAGCAATTGAATCACCACCCATGGCAAATAATAAACCAATTTCGTTAGTCATTCATAAAACTTGAAAGATTATTTGAAGAGAAACGTGGTTTTTGTAGATTCTCCCCGATTCCTGATGAATCTGATGAAGAAATGCCAGCTGTGATGAACAAGATTCCATCTCCACCATCACAAAGAAAACCAAACAATCCAAAGTTGATAAACTCTTCAAAATTTGTATGAGATTAAGTCATTTCAGATCGTCTCCAGTTCCATTGGATGATGATTCAACCCCATTCAATGCTCCGGAGATTGCCAAACCACCGTTGAGAAATAAGTTGGTATTTATTATTTTTGTGCAAAAAAGAGGGTTTGAGACCTATACATAAGTTCTCAGCTTACAAGAGCGTCTGCGCGTCATTTTATATGTTTTTTAATGCCAACTTAAATTCTCTCAAAACCAAAAATTTTCCAGAAGATTGAATGATCCTCCTGTAATCAACGGTGGCTCTGACGACAAACCAAAATCAAACAATCCATTCGCCAACTTATCAGCACCTTCAAGAAATAACAACGAGATGCCACAAGCTGAGCCATTTTCTAGAGCTCCAAGTGATGTGGGAATGAGAGCGGCTAGAGGAAAACTTGGAGGGGTTTGAATATTTTTGATTTATCTCAGCAGCAGCATATCCCAACTTTTTAGGTTGTGAAAGGTGGTGGCGGCGGTGGTGATGCACCAACTGGTTGGAAACCATGGGCAAAAGGAAATCATAAATAATTTTATTCTAAATATCACCATTTATCGTAAACCCCACGTATCTAGAAACAATGAAAACGACATTATATATTGGATTAGTCTAATCGCCCGCTTGAAATTCTATGTATTCTCCATTTTCTTCTTGATAATCCCTTTATTGTTTCATCAAAGTATTCTATTATATTATTTTATTTCTTGTATTGTAATATAATATAAATACTTTACTGTTATGGTGATCTCATAGTATTTGTTTCGAACAATAGAGATTAAACATTGAAATGTTGAAATCGTGGAATTTTCGAAATTTTTTTTGTGTTGGTCGGTGATGAGTAGTAGATAATCAAAAATCAACTCATGATGGGTTGTTTCAGGAAAATATTTTGAAATATGCATGATTTTTGTGGCTCTTTTAATTAAAATTTCAGGTTTTCTAGAATTATTAGGGTTATTGAAATTGGTATGGAAACTGCAAAGAAATATTTTTATTCAGATTAATTTCCAATTATGAAATATTTTTCAATATTACAGAGGAGCATTTTTCAAGTTAATATCCAGATTTTGAAAATAAAAAAATCACACCTTTCTAAATTTCATAATACTTCTCCACAATTCGAAAACATCACTAACAACGTTTTTTCAAGTGACAAAGTCCATGTGACAGGTGAAAATCATCTGAAAATTTGAGATATTTTGACTCACATGTTTGACAATTTTTCAGCTTTCACATTTCTAGTTTACTAATTTCTTATGCTTCAACGTTTTTTTTCAAAAAAAAAATCTATTTTTACCTATGTTTTGCTTGAATAGTTTTGAATTTCTAGCTTATCTAATTGCAAATTAGAAAATCAAACTTTTATCTTCTTGGAGAAAAAATTGTTCCCAAACATTAAGATTTTTGGCTCGTTAAACATGTTATTTATTTATGTCTAATCAAATTGTTCGATCTTTGAAAAAAAATTTGATTAAATTTATAAGAAAGCCCAAGTGATTATAACATAAGTTAGACTAACTAAATACCAAACTATTTACAAATTTAATTAAGCGAAACTCTATGAAATCATATGATTTTCTATCTAATTTGCTACTAAAAATACAAAAATATTTTTGTTTTCGCCGGCTGGATAAAAATTTGCATACAATTTTAATAGCTGGGGGGTCACTAAAAATACTATCATGGGCGGTCTATTCACGTCAAAACAAACAATAATTTTATGCAAATTTTGCGGGTTTTTAAGACAATTCTTGGGTCATTTTTGGCAAAAACGCTGGTTTACTGATTAGTGTGAGAAAATATCTATATCACTTTATTTATTTTCCGTTTTTCTAACACAAGTTTTATAGTTTTCCCACGAATCCGAAAAACAAAATCGTATTTTTTTGGACCCAAAAATTCCATTTTCCAGAACTTAATTTTCAGATAGTCTGTCTGGATTTCTGAACTTTTTCGTCATGCTCCGCCTATTTTTATTATACCTTTTTCAGAAATTTCTTTTATTTTTAACGGGGGTTTCAGAGCATAAAATGGGCGTGTACTTCTAAAAATGAGGCCCCGCCCTTTTGAATCTTGAATATAAAAGGTGGTGATTTTCAGTCGAACTTCATTTTCAGTTTTTCCAGTGAAAACGCACAAAATGAACAAGTTTGTCGCTTGCTTGGTTCTCATCATTGTTTCGGTTGTCTTCGGCGCCACTGCTGAAATTGTGAGTTTTCGAGTTTGGCTGAAATTTTTGAGCTCAATTCATTTTTCAGAGAGCAAAACGTGCCATCAATCCATTCTTAGATTCCATGGGAAAACGTGCCATCAACCCATTCCTTGACTCAATGGGCAAACGATCCTACCGAGTTGTGTCACTCCCAGAAAAAAGGTAATGAAGTTCTCTAGATGAATTTTTCATTGAAAAATCTAATATTTTCAGATACTTCGACAGCTTGGCTGGACAATCATTGGGAAAACGTAGCGCGTTCGAAGAATATTACCAATAATTTAATTCCCTCTTGACAAATATTTTATTCTGGCTCTCGCTGCTCTTTTTTTCACTCCCTTCCTTTAATATTTTTCTGACAACATTCATTGGTAATAAAACGCGTTATTTTTATTGGGAATCAACAAATTTTTAGATGATTGATTGATAAATGAAGATTTTGTTAATAAAATGTGTTCTTAAAATAGCTGCAAAAACATAAGAATTACAGGAAAAAGCAAAGATTGAGATCAGTTTCTGGAAACTAAATAAATGTTGAGGATTAACATTTATGTGTTAGCTAAATGCTAATTAGCAGACCTACGTCAAAGTTTTTATCTTCTTCTTTTCTCTGAAAACAAAATAAAAACAATAGCTGCACTTTCACAATGGACCATTTCCCGTTTTTGCTGCTGTTTTCAAACAATTCACGAAAAAAGCTTTTCAACTTTGATCACCCTATTTCGAGACCCATTTTGCATCGAGAAGAAATAACATTTCTGAAACAATTTTGTATCCATGAAAACACGGAGGTCGGAATGGAATGGCATTTGGAGAAGTTTTTTGTGAAAATGTGTAGATAAATGGAGAGTTATGAATTATTTAGGAGGGAAGAATTGGGTGAACTTTTTGAGATACATATGTACATTGAGGGAGGAAAAGGGTTCAGATCAATCATCATTGGATGTTTTGGAAGTAAAATTTGAATCGGATTATTTTGGTTGACGTTGATATTGTTTTGTGTTAAAGGAAATTTGAAGAGACTATGGAATGACATTTGAAAAGAGTAATTTTGATAAGATTATTGAAGAGCATAGAAATTTAGTAGAGTGTAAAACAACTCAATTTTTACCAGTATTAAGTGGGACAAACTTTGAATATAGTACACTATGACTTTCAAACAAGGAAGAGTGCATTGTATTTATAAAACCAAGGAAGTTTTGAAATAAGTAGTTTCGAAAATGGAAGTGTAAGGGTTTCAACAAAAAATGTTTTCAATTCACAGATTTTTTTTTGAAAATTCAATCGGTTTGAACAACAACAAGACATATGATTTTTATCTTCAGTTATATAATTTGAAACAGCTTCAAAACTTTTTTGGAAATTCTAATTTCTCAGTTCTTCTGGATATAGGAGTTTTCAGAAAGAAAAAACTTTTCTTTTTCGAATCTGTTTTTGATATTTTTGCACAAATTTTGCTATGATTACAAACAATAATGTTAAAATTAACATAACATTTTGATATCTTGGATAAATGTGAATAATCACGGAGGTAGCGAAAATGATTTCAAAATCGAGGGGACCAATTTTTGAGAATAAATTCAGCAAATAACCATCAGAATTTAAGGAAAGTTGCATCTGGATGATAACGGCTTTGGAATGATGAATATACAGTCTTCTAGTATTTGATACGCTGATTACAAAACTGGAAAAATTTACTGTTGAACTCCTAATAGAGCTGAGAACAAGAAACCCGAGCATTGACCTATTTCAAAATCGCAAGCTCCATTTTTTTAAAGGAAAACAACTAAAATAGAAAATTTTATTGGGAATCAAACACCTTCAAATTGTTGTTCATTTTCCTCGAATATTTTCACATCATTTCATATTTTCCATGAACTTTCAAATTCTTATCAGTAAATTGGAAAATAATCAAAAAATGACCCACATTTGATATTTTTCTTGAAAAAAAATGACAGAAAATTACGTTTTCCAAGTTTTCTAATGACGTTTTTGAATGTTTAGAACCTGTATCGACCTACACCAATTATGTTGCACTGCTAATTAGACTTATTATATTATAGAATTGAATGATGAGTAATTAGATATAACCTTTTTCACAATTATTAGCTATTGTTCAGAAAAAATGTTTTTTATATTGATATGAATAATAAAATTAGTAACTTACTTCTTGGATTTTTTGAATTCGGGATTTTTAGGGGTCAGGGTTTTAAGAAAAAAATTTTCAAAAAAATCTGGATTTTTGATGTAAAAAAGAAAAGAGATTTTTGAACATTTTCCGGATTTCCGTTATTGTTGGGAGAAATGAAATCTTTTTTCTAGTTTTATAAAGTTGTCGGCACTTTTCTGAAGAAGTTATTGAGTGATTCGAAGAATCGTTTGAAAATTTCAAATTAAATGTCAAGTTCAAGAATTTTTTCTCCGAAAATTCACGCCTGTCTTTACCGCATTCAACATTTCGTCATATTTAAACAAAATCTGTTTTTTCTCAAAGATAAATTTCCCCCTTTTAATCATCAAAATAAATCATGTGTCTATTTTTATCTTGCCCCACAAAAAAAACTCGATTTACAAGTAACCTTTTTTCTGATTTGATCTTTTTGTCTATCCCAAACTTGTTTTTTTTTCTATTTTTTTTTACCCTTTTTGTCTCAATTTTCCACCTTTTTTGTCTAATCTTTCACAAAAAAATTTATAGCAAAACAAAATGTTGAATATTTTTGGAACAAACACCAAATTGGTGGCAACCAAAATATAACGTGTCGAAATTTTGTCTCAACTCTCTTGAATTTCTCTGATATTTTGCTCCTTTTTCTTCTTTTTTCTATTTTTCGCCGCTCTCAAAATCGATAGAGTGAGTGTGGAAAAAAGAAGAAGAAGAAGAAGAAAGAAGTCAGCCGATGTGCTCGTCACACTTACTCATGTTTTTGGCTCACTCAATGGACCTCACAGGTTTATTGTTTCTCGTATTTTACTTCATTTGATTGGCTTTTGTTTAATTAGTCTGATTTTTCTCGGTTATAAAAAGACAGATGACATTTTTACCCTGCTGTTCTTTTCTTAATTTCTTTCCCATTTATTTGGATTTATACGTCTAATTAGTTCTTTGAAGATAATTGCTCTATTGATGAATTAATAAGAAAATGTGAAATAGAAATAACCTGAAAAAAGGTCCCCATAGGATAATTTTGAATCAAATTACACTAGTTACCTCGAGTGGGACCTTTTCTACAATTACCTCAACATTTCTCACATAATATTTATTTTTGAGATTTATGTTATACCTCATTAGCCGCATAGATCGGTTTTCATTTTGTAAGTGAATATAATATGAAATTGTATCCTACATATTCACAGAAATTTGAAGAAATTTGAATAAATAATTCTATGGTTTCGGATTTTTGCAGGATTTCTTAAAACTTTTGAGCTTTCCTGTGATTTCGTTTTTCCTCTGCCTTTTCATACGAAAAATTCAGCTATTTTAAAACCTTATTCATCATAAAATTCAGAAATGGTATGTTAAACACATCAACACCATAAAAAACATAGTCATCCACAAATGTTTCTTTCTTCTGACTCACCATGTTTGGGGTCGTTTCGGTCTCATTATCCACCCTTTTATTGACATTTTGTGCTGCTAATTTGTGCCAAGTGCCATTTTTTTGAGGCCAAGCTTTGTTGGTTTGGTCAAAACAATTTTCCAATTAGTTTTATAAATTTCAAGTGCTCCTTTTCGAAACTTGAATAAATTAGGAGGATTTGCACATATTTTATAGATTTTTTCGGAAAAGCTTGCTGAGAGATAGAAGAAATGTTTTGATAAATCTTTTCGAAAATATAACTTCACAAAAATAAAAATAAAAAATAAATTCAATAAACGACATATTTCAACACAAAAATAGTTTTCCCTTTCTGTTCTCCCATAAAAAAGACGCCGTCTTCCACGAAAAACAATATAGTCTAGCAAACGCGCTCTATCGAACACAAACAGTCGCGGCAACCTTTTTTAAATTAGTGTTTTTTCTGTGTGTGTGTGGTTTGTTGTTTTTTTTCAAACAAACACATCCACCAAATCATCACAGTTGAACGGAAATCATCCATGTGCTTAAACTTGTGAGTTATTTGAATTATTTTCAGCACATGTTATGTATGTCAGCTCACATTTTTATATTAATAAAAATAATAAATATAGCAAAAAAAGGGAGAAAATTAATTTATCCTGATGAGCCAAAGTCATTCCTTTTTTGCTCTCCCCTTTCCCCCTTCTTGCTTTTTTCACATCCATTAGCTGTATTGATTTGTGCCGCCCTTTTCCAAATATCCAGCGTATTACGCAACAAAATGTGCTTTTTTTGGCTTGGGCTTAGTCACGCGATTATTTTCTGGTCATGAGATTAAAATTTGAATTTTAAATTAGCAATCAATTTTTCAACAGATGAAATTTTTTGATTTAAAAAAAACAACAACAAAATGTTGTTTGCTCTCGTAAAAGAGCCCATCTAGTTATTTGTTTTTAGCGTACTTGTTGTTGGTTGCAGCAAAAAATCTACTCATTTTTTTAATCCTCACCTCACAACATGCATTTTTCGTGTCAAAATCTTTGTTGTCGTTTTCCTGAAACAAAGAGTGATTTATGTAATACGAAACCCCTCTATTTCGAAATTTTTATTTTATTTTTTGTTCACAGAAATAATAATGTGAATACATGTTCTTTTTCACTCACTCTCGCGATTCTTTTCTATGTATGTATTCATTCACAAATATATGTGTATAACCCACAAATTTCACCTGAAAACAGCAAAAAAAACATTTATAAATTGAAAAAAATTTGCAGGGGATGTATAATTAGAATGGGACGCCCGTCGAAAAAGAAAGAGAAAACGAATCGTACAGGAAGTATTTCAAGTGAGTTTTATTTTTTTTTTTCATTTTTCTTTTCTTCGATTTTTATTTTTCAAAAAATTTTTTATAGGTAAACGACATTCCGCGTCACAATCTTCACATTATCATTCGGCATCGCTTCCAGTAAACAATATAACTGAAAGTGATAGTGGTGGCGGCGGAGGTGGTTATAGTGGAAGGATTGAATCGTTGCCAAGAAAAAGCATCCTGAATCGTTTGCCTGATTATTTACGCAACACGGTCGATTGGTTCATCGGGTTAGTTGTTGGGGAAAACAGAATGGTAGAGCACGTAACGCATAGTAATGTTGTTAAGGGAATATGGGACAAGCCGCGAGACATACGTTAAAATAAAATATGACAATTAGATAGTCATGATTTGATTATTCATAACTTTTTGGATCAACACGCAACGCAGACGCGTCGCAATTCGAAGAACACATATTTTGCAGCGGCGCGCGTAACAATATTATAAAATTGTTTTCTTTGGAATTCGCTGAATTTGAGTTGAAAACGCAACGCATAGCCTCGGTACATCAACAAGAATTTTGTGTCTGCTTTGCATTGGGTCATACTCCCGTAGAAACTGCAATCATCATATCCATCACATTTATCATTTTTCTGGATGACGAAACACCACGTGACCCTCCAAACAAGAGCTCTTCACTTTTTTCTCATATCAAAGTGTAAATTATTTCCGGATATTGGTAATTTCCATTTTTATTATTGGGCCAAAACATCGGAAGTGTTCTGTGTATTCTTGAGTAAATTGCCGATGTCATAAAACACCAGTTTTTTACAATGTCATAAAAATTTGCATGTTTTTCAAATTGACGTTGTCTCTGTCTGTTGTTGTTATTTTGACTTACATTTAGATTTTTGTTCGAATCAATATCCTCCATATTTACAATAAAAATCATCAATTAAACCCCAACTAGTTATTTGGCTAGGTTTGTGACATTTTGAGCAGGTGGCATTGAGCATTAATTTGATGACAAATCTATCCGACCTTTTTGCTGTCTCGTTAATGCTCATAATTATGTGCATACTGAAGATACATACCCTCGTGGGAAATCTATCGGATTTCATTTTTCTTGCTCTTGCTGTTTTGTTGTGTTTTTTTTTTGAAAAACAAAAAGTCTCATGATTTTTTGTCTCGAAAAAAGAATCTTTCTAGGTATTAGTTTTTTTTCTAGTTGGGAGGACAAACTTCTTTTTTGTTTTTTTTTTTCAGAAAAGCTAATATGAACTTCCTGGTGTCGTTTTATATATTTGAAAAAAAACTTCCCACTCTCATCAAGAACCGCTATATGAAAATGTTTTTCTAAAATATAATTCCTTCCCACTTCAGTTGAGTTAAACCCTTCCAGTTTTAACCTCCAGAAAAAATGTTGCGGCATCAGGAAAAAATAACAAATAAAACGTGGGATGACCTTGTCATAGATTAATGTTTACAAGATGACAGGCGGCTTACTTATCCATCCTTGTTCTTATTCTTCTTTTCCTTCTATTTTTCTTGTTCCTCAATCAATTATAATTTTTCTTTTCCTATTCCATTTGAATGAAATACCGGTTTCTTCGATTTCTCGACCAAATTATGCGCAATAATAATGAGAATAAAAAGTTTTTGGAAGGTCAGTGGCACGAGAATTTTCTTCGTGTGTGTGTCTTTTTCGAAATCTTTTTAATATGCGTAAAAATTGTGTTACGGGAAAGTGAAATTTTTGGGTGATTCGAAATTATCATAATGTTCTGACATTCCAATAATAATTGTTTCTTTTTCCATTTTCAAATTGATTTTTTCTATTCATTTCTTTTATTTTTAGTTATTCTTATCAATTTTCTCCCAAATTATCATTGAGCTTTTTATTGTTATTATTATACAGCTGACTTTTCATTGAAACTGGTTTCTCCACAAAAAAAAACTATTTTTCTTCTTCTTCGTTTTTTATTTAGAATCTGTAGAATAGAATAGAATTAGATTATATTCATTTTTGGTTATTCACAAAAAAAACCTAACCCGATTACTGAAAATTGTTGCAATTGATTTTCCCATGAACAGTTTTTTTCGTCATTTATAATTAGTTAGTTTTTTTGGGTGACCTGGTTTTTTCTGTCGCATTTTTGCATGTATTGTATTACGAAAATTTTGGCTTGGCAGCAGCTGGGTTGGTTGCAAATGAAAAAACACGCATGAATAATGCGATATGAGTCATTTATGCGTAAGAGGTTTGCAACGTACATGTAAATTTCCTTTTATGAGAAGCCGACGGGTTTTTCGTGTTGTAAAATTTTTTTTTGCTAAGTTTATAGAGTTTCAAAATTCTCACACCTTCCAATACAACTTTTTCATTGCGAAAAATTTCATCACATTTTTTGTTGGTTCCCATGAAGTATGATCGCTCGTATTGTTCAAAATTTATAAGGCCCTGGGAAAATTAGGATTTTTTTGGAGAGCGTTTTTTTTGAAGATGAAAAAAAGGTTCAAGATTTTTCAGATCAGTGATTTTCAAAAAATATGTAGTTAGTTTGTTTTTCTAATCTGTCTTTCTCAGAAAATCTAAAATTTGAATAGTCTTAATATCTTCGCAATTAGTTTTATATTTAATTAATTAGAACCCTCAAATTTGATTCAAAGTATAGTTTTTATTTTCTTATCAAGCAGGTCTTAATTTCCGATAATAGAAACCTGTAAACAATTTTTTCTAAAACTGTCAAAATTTTCCCAGAGACGTTTTCATTTTTTCTTCTTCAGAACATCAACATATTTTTCCAGAAAAAATTGAGAAATCTAAAAATAACTAACAACTGCTCTCCAGAAGAAAAAAAAACACAAGAAGTTTTTTGCTTTTCTCTTTCTGAAAAAAAAGCAATCATTTCTCAAAGATTCTCAAAAGTTCTTCATTCAATTCATCCACCATTTTTCTGACTCTGGGTTTACGTTCAATTTATTTGAAAAAAAACCTTGGTCCACCTGGTCGCACCATATGATGACCGATGGTTTTTTCTAGTAAATTTATTATATGTATAATATATATGATCGATCAAGGTCAAATTGCAATCGCATTTTTTTCTTAGTCAAGTTAGCCAAAGTTCGAGTAACTTTTTTATAGAAAATTGTTTTTTTCGGTTTCACCCGAAAAAATTCTTCACTTATCGCGATTTTTGATCATGATTGTTTTGCATACACAAAAATTCCTATCTTTTTTTCTTCCTTCCTTTTTTATTCAAATTCAAATATACCTGTCTTCATTTATTTATCGTCGCATCTTTCCTTGGCGCCATTTTTTTTTTCAAAAAAACATTTCATTCAAATCTTTGGCCAACGAAAGTTGTTTGTCCAGGAAATTTTGAACTAGAAAAAGGAGACGTGTATTTAATGTTCATTCAAAAAAACGTCATTTCATGATAACATTCACGAAATGATAACAAAGTTTTTTCTTGTGGTTTTTTCTGCTCGAACCAGCCTAGCGAGGGAAAAAGAGCATTTCTTAGTTGTGTCAACATTTGAGCTCCTAACAATAGAAGAAGAAAAGAAAAAGAAGAGAAACCTAATACTTTCTGACTACTTGTAGTAAATATAGTGTGCTCTACTCTTAAATATAGTTGGCTCCAAAAAACATTTGTAGTTTTCTTGCTTTTTAGAACTTTGAAATTGAAAAAAATCACAACTAACTCCAAAAATAAATGAAGAATAAACAAAGACTCATCATTTATATATATATTTTTTTGTGCACTTCTCTTTCTCTATTGCTGTTGCTCTCTTGCTCTTTTTTTCATCCCGAAAAATGTTCCGGCATACACTTTTTTTGCGTTCGGGAGAAAACGAAAGTGTGCGTCTTTGAAACACTTGCGGAGCTTTTTCTCTACTGATGGCTGGCTTTTGATTTATTACATTTTTTATCCGTAAAATTCAATCTGATTGGATTTTTCATTTTAGTTTAGTGATTTGATTGAGATTCCACTGATATAAGGAGCTTCTTTAATTTTTTTTTTTTACATTTTTTCCAGAATATTGAATTTCCTGAACTTTTTGAAACTTGATTTTTCATATTTTTACCTTGAATATTCCTGGGAAATTCTCCCCACAGAGTAAGCCTACAAAAAAAACTAGACTTCCTAAAACTTTCACAAAATTCGAAAAAAAATCGTTTTTTTTTTTATTCACATTTTTTTTGGCCGAAAACCGGCTTTTGACCATACCATAGCGCGATTTCCTCATTTTTTATTGAAATGAAGTTTTCGAAATGTCGTCATTTTTGAAAAAAAAAATGATTTTTTTGTTTCACTATCATCTGTTCACTTTCTGGAAATGTTTTTCTTGATCTCAAATATTTTTCGATCACGTGACCCTTGATTGTTTTATCTGTTTCAAAAATGTTCTACATAGGAACTATTTACCTTTCGTTCAAAAATCACTTATCATCTTTACAATCAGTCCAGCTTACCTATTTTCACATACTTAAAAATTCAAATTATTGTGTTTTGATTTTCCCACACCTTGTTTTTATGTGCTTCCTATATAGTTTTTATTACCTCGCTTTTATGATGATAATAATTATCATTTTCCCATCTTCTTTTGCTATCTTTTAAGGAAATACTTTATTGCTCTGTTTTGTATATAATCGTATACGTGTGCTCCTTTGCTCTTTTGATATTGTGAAATTTAGAAATTTTGGAGAAATATCATGTCAGTTGTACCTGAACGCCGTCAACAATCACATATTGCACGTCACGCATCAGTTGATCTCGATGAGGCACCCGGATGTTGTCCAGCAAAAATTTTGATCTCCAATATTTTGAGTTTTGCCACGTATGTTTTTATTTTTTCCTACAGAAAACATTTTAAAAAATCGATTCGTTTCTCGAAAAGGAAGCAGAAGACAAATCAAAATCGAAATCAAAAACCAATTTTGTTCAAGAAAAAAAATCATATCATCATTTTTTGTCGGCCTTCTTCCTTCGCTATGAAAAACATGTAATTTCCCCTACCTGTCTATTAGTGAAAACAGGTTTTTCTTTCTGGTAAAGACAATTTTCAGTTGTGTACAAATTCTGGATGTTTTTGTACAACAAAAAAATTGTTTTTTTTTCGATGTAAATCGAAAAAAAGAGGTGTGAGAAAAAACTCCATCCACTTTTTTTTATTGAATAAAATAGAATAAAATGAAAAAATTGTGCACTAATGGAATTTTGTTCACTTGCTGGCCGATGAAAATTGTCTCCCCTTCTCCCCCTATAAGGAAATGTTTTATCATTATTATTATTATTTTTATTATGCAAATATGGGCGCACCTAGAAGGCCCACCCTATAGAATTTTATGAATGTTTACCCACAATTGATATTTTTTGAAATTTTTTCGATTTTTTCTGTACATTTTCGAAAAATAGGTCTACCATGTGCATATTTGTTCAAGATGACAAGGTCTTTCGCACAGTTCATTGTTGTTTTATATACATTTGGTTTAGTTTTTTTGCCTCGTTTTTTCTTAAAAGAAGAATTGATTTTCTTTCGCCTCCTTTTTGCCTGCTTCACACAGTATTCTTCATCTATATATATATATATATTTGTACATATATGTAATGTATGTATGATGTATAAAACGTATGTACATTTCATATCATGAATACATAATTGTTTATTTCAATGACTTCCGTTTTGCATTTTGCCTAGCCCCTTCTGTTATTTCTGCTAGTTTTTTTGTTTCTTCTTTAAGATTTGAACAAATAGTTGCAATTTTGTCTGGTTAGGATCGTTTTTTTTGGATTTGGGTTCGGTAAAATTTGGAAATTTCGAAAAAGTCTAGTACTGATACTACCAGCTCAGATTTCTAAGCTTACGAAAATTTTCAGAGGAAAATTCTCTATGATAGTCTGATCCTGATCAAAAAGTTCCAGATTTTGCGATCTTTAATTTGTAAACTTTGAGTATTTTGAAACATTCCTGGTCCTTGTGATTTGGACGTGAAATTATAAAATTCTGGTTTCCTGAGAGGTGTTTTCAAGTTCTCTGAATTTGAAAAAAAACCAGTCATTAATTCTGTGAATATTTAGATTTTAATTAAAATATGCAGATCAATCTCTTTACACCTGCTTGCTCACGAGGCTTATCAGTTTTTCGAAAAATTATTTTTCAAATTTCTTCAGAAATTTCAAGATATATCATGAAATTTCATTTTCAGATCATAGTTCATCTGAAAAAACGCGTTTTTCCTGAAACCATACGTCATTCTCAAAATGTTCCGAAAAATATTTTATTTCCGATTTTCTCTTCAATTCCATTCAAAAAAAATCCGTCATTTTATGACGATAAAATTGTATTGTGTATAGTACAGCGGAGTACTGTAGTTTTTTTCATTTCCTATTTTTTTGAGGAAAAAAAACATATTTTCTCATTTTTCCGATGCAAGAAAAATGTTACAAAATTAATATAATTTTCCTGGGAAAAATTGAAATTTCACAAAAATTGCACACACACACACACACAAAAGAGCTCGTCATTTATTTGTTTTTGTATGAATCGAAAAAAGAGAGAGATAGATGGCAAGTTGATTTCAGTGGGAGCCTCTATTGTGTATGTGTGTATTTGTGATTTTTTTCTCGCTCGATTTGACTCACTCCCTTCCCGCCCTTTTTCTTCACCAGGTGTTTTTGAATATGTTAATCTTGTTCTCATAAATTCGATTTTCAAGAACAAATATAAGTTTTTTTTCTTCATTTTCTCTTGTGTTATTAAAAAATATGGAAATAATAATATTCTATCGGAAAGAGAACAACATTGTTCTTTCTTTTTCTTTTTTCTCTCTTCCAATTTTTCTCGTTATTATTATTATTATTGTTTTCATTTTTTAGAGTAATTAAATCGATCTTTAATGTGAAATGTCGAATGATGTTGAAGAACATCAGGAAAATACTGGTAGATCAATTCGATCAATGTTTGGTGATTGGCGCCAATTATTTGATAGTTGTAGTTTTATAAGACGAAAAAATCGAAGGTTTTTTGGGCGGGAAACAAATGTTTGGGGAGGCCATCAAACGTTTATCATTAATTGAATAATGTTTGGATTTTTCAGCCGGTCGCGTCAGCGAAAACAAGAACAACGCGGCGGCGCCAATCCAACGACCACCGAACGCATCTCGAAACGTGTCGCATCGGCTTCTTATGCAATTCGTCCGCAACCAAAATCGCCCGACTCAATTTGTGTATGCGATTCGATTGATGACAAGGTAAATGATTTTCGATGTTTTGCCCAAAAAAAAAATCGGCTAGTCACGCGGAAATAATTGAATTCAATTAACAGCTGGTTTCCTTTTCTTTTTTTTTTTGAAAAACATGAAGAAAAAATTTTCAGATGGTTGCAAAGATTACCGAACAACCACACGGGATCGAACAACGCGAGTGGATTGCTCATAATATACTTGGCATGTTTGACCATGTGAATGCATTGTGCGGAACTGTGACGGAGATTTGTACACCAGTCACTTGTCAGCATATGAGCTTTCCTGGAACAAGGTATTGTTTAGTTTGGGGTTTTATGGTTTGAATCTTAAGTTAGGGATTCTTAGAACGCTACTCTCAAAGTTCTCTGGAAAAATGTTTGAGTTTTTAAATTAGAATCAGTGGTTCAATAACTTTCTCAACCCAAATGTTATTTTTCCTAAATTCAATATTTTTCAATTTCTAGATTCATTTCTTTAACTATGTGTTTTTTTTCAGCAAAGCAAGTTATCAAGACGATCGTGGAAAACGTCAATTCTATCCAGCTATGCAATATATTGATTGTGTTATGTCACAATGCGAAACAATGAGTCGTCAAGAAGACATTTTCCCAACTAAATATGGCAACAAATTCAACGATAATTTCGAGCCATCGGTCAAAAAAATGTTGCGAAACTTATGGCATTGCATGGGACACTTGTATACTAATCATTGGGATCAACTAGGTTTGCTGCAACTTCGTCCACAATGCGCTATGGTTTTTGCGCATATTGCTGAAGTTGGAAGAACTTATAATTTGTTGGATCCGAAAGATCAACATAATGTTGATGCAACAGTTATTTTGGTGAGTTTTTTTGAAAGACGGGTCGCACGGAGATTTAGAAGAGGGCTTTTATAGTTGAACATGCAGACTTTGAACCTAGCACAAAAATTAGTATTAATTGAAAAATATTGAAATTGCATTTCAAAAAGTTTTCAGGAAAACTATCTTCTTCCATAAAAAAACCAAGAATCTACAGTACCCTATTCCAGCTGCCTAAGTACCTGAAACTTTTTATATACTTGTTTTTCTTTCTTCAAAAAATGTCATCATTTCTCTGAACAGATGTTTTGTCTCGACTCAGACTGGCACTGAGAAAAGGGCAGCTGTAAAATTCTGATCAGATATTTTATTTTATTATCTGAACATTGAGAAAAAAATATGATTTTTTGCAGGTTCGCCCAATTCTCACAATAATGTCAATGAATTCCTCGCTAGCTGATGATGGAAACCAGAATTCGGGTGAAAATCAACGTGCCGTTCGTGTTCCAAACTCGAAAAGTGGAAGTTGGGGAGGATATCCATCGCCAGCGGTTCTCACATGTAAACCATACGCTCAAACGTGTTAGATCTTGACCCTTCAGCTAAAAATATGTGATTTGTAAATTTTGTCTTCTCCTTTTTCTCTTTAATGATTATAATTATAATTATTATTGTTATTACGATTTTTCTCACCCTTGAAAAACCTGTGAATTTTATATTTTTCTAATTTTTACTGTGATTTTATCAGGTCTACTAAGCAACCTAAATTTAGCTAACTTTTATTTCATATTTTCTAAAATTGACTCTCCTCAAAAAATTTTGTGAAACTGGTTTTTTTCTTACTCCTTCCCCCACTCTCCTGAATATACTAATTTTCAAATTTCGTTTGTAAATGTGTTTTTTTTTCAATTTCATTTTTAGAAACTAATTTTATCCCCGCTGTTTTTGAATAGTCAACGATTTTTGTCTGATTTGGGTTTTCATCATTTTTGAATATTTAAATTTTGGTTTTCAAATTGGAAAACCTTTGTGTTCTTATTAGACGGGGAATGCTCTCCTTTTAGTTTGATTACGTGTTTTGCCGCAACTAATTTTGTTTCTTTTTTCTCGTATGTTTTGTGAATTAACAATGAAAGTTTTGATTTTTATTTATCATTTTTGATAAGTTGATTGAATAGGAAAAAAGAATAATGAAAATTCAGGTGATTTTTTATTTGATAAAAATGGTAAGCTTTTAAGCTTAAAAGCATCTTCTTTATCGGTAGATCAAAAAATATTATGAGTTGGAAAAAATATTGAAATTTGAAGGTTTCATATGGAATTGATTTTTGAAAACCATTTAGTTATTATCAAGTTGCTATAATTTTTGAAGTTCTTTGTGTTCAATTAACAAACAGTGAAAATATTTCATTTCATAAAGAATAAGGTTAATCAATAAAAATAGTTTTGAAAAGGAAAGCAAGTAGGAAGAAAATAACACTAACAAATGCACCGACGATAATCCAGTATAATGTCGATTTTTGACCAGATTTAATTGAATCTTTATCTAGAAAATCGTCTTCCGAAGTATCCAAGAGAAAATTTGAATCTGGAATTGGAGCTCGCGTTTGTTTATTGATCAATCGCAATTCATAAACTGTAGAATTTTTGAGATCGGCTAGCATATAAATTAACGAAACTGTAAAATAATAAAAATATTAGTTGATTAATTTTTTTCTGACGAACCTGGATTATATTTCCATTCTGAATTACTATCATTTGCCACTCGATATTCTACACCAACATTTTTTTGTTCAATTGTTGTCAAATTGAACTCCAACTTCTCTGATTCTTGACCAAGATTTTTGAAGTTTTGATCATCTGAATTTAGATTGTATAATTATTATTTAACTGAGATTGTTTGACTTACTGGTAGCATTAGAAAAGGTTAGAAATACTGAAGCGATAACCATAAAAAACAACATTTTTCCCTGAAAAAAATCAATTTTATTCTGACCGACAGACAGAAGATGTGACTTTTTTCAAAATGAGCAGAAGAAAGGTTGGCTCTATTTGATTTTTGGGAGGAACTTTTGTTTCTGATTAAATTGAAAAATGTGTTGGTTTTGGTAGAAAAATGTGACGTACCAAAATTGGATTTCTTGGATAATTAAAAATGTAGGATTTTTGTTTGGATAAACAAAAAAGTTTCAAAGGGTTAAGAAGTGGATAATTTTTGAAGCATTTTCAGAGCTGATGTATTTGGAATGACCGAAAATTCTGCATGAATTAACACTATGGTATATTTTCATTATTTTTAAGTGTAAAAACAATTGAACTACATATTCCGATTCCAGCCAATCTACATTTATTCCTACTTCAAAAAATTACGGAACAAACGCATAAAAAGTACAAAAACAACAAAGAAGGCACAAAATATAGAAAAATACAACAAAAATCATCATCCAGAAAGGTTTATCAAAAATCACATCTTCTTTTTCTTTTGCTGTAACAAAATGTGAATCCGATATCACATTTTTTGTTTTTCCATCTTCTGAAATCCTGACAAGTCGAAATTCATAAGTTTTAGTTTCTTCAAAGTTTTTGAGATGATAGTTGCTTAAACTTGACACTGGAAAAAAAAAGATCTTTATCAACATTTGATTGAAAAACTATTACTTGGGACATCGTTCCATGGAGATTTTTCAGAATCCACAACTCGAAATTCTACAAAAATATGTTCTTCATCCTTTTCCGCATTTTCAATTTGTATATTGTTTCCATCTTTGCTTATTTTGACTGAAAATGGCACTGAAAAAATCTCTATCAATATTTTTCGGAAAAATAGTTATGACTCACATGTTGCACAATTGGCAATATTTTTAAATGAAAATAATATGAGGGCTAGAAAATGTAAACTTGACATTTTTGACTGGACCAAGTGAAAAATGAAAAACTGCGAAGTGTAACAATTTCAGATTTTCGGTTGACAGGAAGCTAGGCTTTTGTTAAACTATGATTAAGTGTGTTAGAGCTGAAAACGTTTTTGAGGGGATTGCAAATATACTTCGCTGTAAAAAAGAAAGGACAATTTTTGGGCCCGATTCTTAAGAGAGACTTCGTTTCGAAATGGGTAACAACTTTTTGGAAAGAGATTCTTCCAGAATTGTTTTTATCTGTAAATTAACATACCTTTAAACCTGAATGTGAACCATTTTTTGAAATTTTTTTAAAATAAAATTGCAGAAAACTCGCAAAATTGCACAAAATGTCTGTAAGAACAATAAAAATTGTATTTTTCCAAAACTTTGTTAGTTTCAATTATTTCATAAGTTTGACGATGTTTAAATAGCAGATTGAACTTTGATAATTCAAAATACATAAACTCTGAAAAATCTTTTTTTTTTAAATTTTCACACATTGGAACTTTTTTGTTTATCCAAACAAAAATCCTACAATTTTAATTATCCAAAAAAACCCAACTTTGTAACGTCACATTTTTTTACCCAAACCAAAAGATTTTCAATTAATTTGGAAACAAAAGATCATTCCAAAAATCAAATGAAAGAAAAGGATGATATCCGGGAAAAATCGACAAAATCTGCCTGTTTTGTTGATGAACTATACGAATTTGAGTTTTTCGCAGTAAAATTGTTTTTTTGATTTAAAAACCATATCTGAAAGCACAATAGTCAATTACAGCTTTGAATTTTTGCAAAAAGTTATCAAATTCTCACAATCTTCCAATCTTTATAAAATCAAAATTTTGATCAAAAAGCCAGCAACCAAGCACATAACAATTGCAATAATAATAACAGGTAACCAACTCAAAAATGTTTCAAATAAATTTTCGAAAAAAGACGGACGCCTTTTCTCAAGTGTTGTAAATCTGAGAGTTTTAGAAATCGTTTTTCGTAAAATTCCATTTCCAGGATCTTTCACTACACGCAATTCATATTTGCTCCAAGGTTTGAGATTGGAAATATGAACTCTTGGTGATTTACCGGCTAAAATGTTTTGTTGTTAATGAAGTTTAAAAATTTTGAAAATAATTACCTGCTTTATAAATCCAAAAATCCTTCCATACTTGTCGATATTCTACCCCAACTTGTTCTAAATCCTTTCTCTCAATATCAATTTCAATTTCTGCGTAATGATCTTGCAAAACTGTTAATTCGAATGTATGAGTGACTAAAAACAAATCTTTTTTTAATGTATTTTTCAGAAAAATTAACTCACTTTCTTCAACTTGGGTATCACAAAAAACCGTCGATACAAGTACAGAAAATAAAAAAAAGAGCATCATCGTTTTGAAAAGAGAATGAAATTTTAAGATTTTTTCAATTTCGATAAGACTTCAGATCCTGTGATTCATCGATGTGTTTTTCAAATGAAAAAATATATTGAAAAATGACGCTATTTCAAAAAAATACTGAAAATTCAAAAGAAAGATAAGCTTTATTGTTTTTAAAAATGTATGATAATTTTTCCAGTTTAATCCAAGTGATTTTGAATTTTAGGAAATAATGAAACTTTTCATTAAACTTGATTCTGGAAATTTAGTTTTTTTACAGGAAACCAGGTCGAATTTTCTGAATGTGAGTAGTTTCCGATTTTTTAAAAAATCATATTGGTTCATACTTTTCATCAAACAATTGGCTTCTCTAATTCAGACAAAAATCAAGCTCTCATCAATTTCAGAACAGTTGTTAAGGTCAGATCTTTTCAGAATTTTGTAAATATTGTTTGTAACAAATTTCTTTTAATTTTAAAGATACTTTATTTCTCCCAATAAGCTTTTGAAAACATATAAACAAGTGAGCCAACAATCGATAATAGCAAACAAACTCCAAAAATTACCAAAACCACGAAAAATACACTAGAAAAGCTGAATCCCGATGTTTCGATGATGATTTTTTCAGATTCGGATTTATATGGAATTCCTTTTTCGTCAAATTCTCGTAATTGCACTGTGTATTTTGTAGCTGGTTGAAGATTTGAAACTCGATTGTGAAGAGCTCCTTTTTCAACTGAAATATCAAATTTCAAATTCATTCTAAAATCATAAATTAACATACCTTCAGATCTGTTCCATCCTGAATTTTCAGCTTGATATAAAATCACAAAATGGTTATCAATTGGTTTTCTTGAAACATGTTGATGTTCTAGGAAATGCAGTTTGACATCGAAATAATCATAACCAACTTCAATTACACTAACGCTTAACTTTTTGAAATGATCTGAAATTTATTCTCAAAAATTAGTTTTATTTTTGTTGAAAAAACCTTACATCTATAAGCAAAAACATTGCTATTTTCCAATAGAAAAAGTGGAATAAAAATAAAAATGATAAAATATAACATTGAAGTGAAATGTAATGTGAGGAAAATCAAAAAATACCTTGGACTGAACAGCTGGCTATCATTCAAACCAAAAAAAAATTGGGGCGAAAAATTAATGATGCTCATTGTTTTTTCTTTTAATCACGTAAGAATATAGAGTCTGAAATTTCACAATTTGCAGATTTCATTAGCAAAAACTACATATAGCGAATTTACGACCTACGATGGAGTTACTTGGCACAAATTCGAAAAAAACAAACTTCCAAAACAAAAATACAGTATCTTAATTTCATATACCCTATAAAGTACTCAAAGACATTCACAGTATCCATTTTATACCGTAGAAACAAATATTTCTCTTGAGCTGCTAAACACCAGGCATTTACGATGCTACGCAATATTCGTCCCTGTGAGAAAATCTTCCTATCTTTACACTCTCTCTAGATTGCATAATCTCTCGTCTAGAGAAAAATTTGAATCAAAGAAAAGTATAGAAGTTTGCGTTGAATGCGAAATTCTTTTCAGGATTTTGAAATCAGAAAAACTTTTGGGAGAATATCGATCATTTGACATACTGTAAATTTTGTGGATAAATGAATTAGTGCTGGTTTAATTGATTTCACAAAAAAAATTTGCATTTTTTGTACAAAAAATCTAAAAAATGGAAGCTATCATGTTAGAGGTTCTAGACATTTGAAACTGCAAAATTCGATACTTTGGGGAACATTGATTCGTGTAATTGTAAGATAATCATAACTTTCTTTAAAGATTTTACAAATGTTTTACAATTTTTTGCCAAAGGATCTATGTATGATCTAAATTTTTTTGAATTTTGTTTTTTTTCTCCGAGGAATAATTCTAATTTTAGTTTCAACATTGTAAAACATATTGTTATACTAAAACGACACTGTAATGTATAGTTCCAGTTATTACAATGCTGCCAACAATAGCGAGGAACGTTTGATCAAAGCAAAAGTAGATGACCTGAAAATACATAGTTCTTATATCTATTTTTGTCAACATTTTTTAGAAGAAAATCTTGATTATGACTTCAATAAATTTGTATTCACAAATCATTTTAAAAATATTTTGAACCTTGCTACTTTCAGTTTTGAGAAATCAGAAAATATTCAGATTAATACTAGTGATCTTCATATTATTTTTGAATGAAACATTTTATTTTCATTTTTCACAGTTTTTTAAAAGAATCTTCAGTTTTTGTGATTTCAGTTTATTGTCTTCTTTTAATACCAATAATTCCAAACTATTATTTTTCAAAATCCTTTATTTTGTATCATAAACCGTTCCAATACACAAAACACTGCATGTTCAACACACACACACACACACACACACATACATACACAAGCATACATATGTATTTCTCCTCATCTCTTCCTATTAACATAACCCGCCGGCTATAATATAGTCTTTCATCTTTTATATATGAACTAAAAAAAACAAAGACAGGAAGGGGGAGGAAAAGGACGCCAAGGTGGTATTGTCTTGACTAACGCTCATGTTGTTTTATCGAAAAATGCTGAAAGATTGGTAATTTTTGTTAATTTTGATGAAATTTGAATTGCTAATCTTTTTTTTTGAATTCTGAAATTTTTCTGACATTGAGATTGCTGTTATTTTCATTCTTCAACATTTTGTCTCAAAAAATCTGGTATTATGATGCAAATTGATAGTTTTTTCTGATTTTCTAAACTTTCCAATAAGTTATTTTTGTTCAAAAATCTTTATTCTTACATTTATTTTAATCGTTACTTGTGAACGACTTGCTCATATTTTAATTTTGATCTGAATATTTTCATATCTATTTTCATTTAGTTCAAAATTTTCACATTATCAATCAAATAGGTATTCCATCTAACTGTTTGAGATTGTGGTAGGAACATTTTTTGTCGTTATCGTTACTGATTCATGGGTTTTATTTCATTTTCATGTGATTTGTTCTAAAAATGAACTCATATTTTGATTTCATCTGAATTTCTTGCAGATTCATTATTCTAATCTCAAAGTTTTCTAAAACTAGTATTCTGCTTGTTAGAAAAGTTTTTCAAAGACGATTGTTTTATATTGTGGCTGGAAATTTTTTCAGATTTTTGGTATGTTATGCATCATTATCGTTTCCGATTCATGTTTTTCAGTTCATTTGTTCGTTCAAAAATGAATTCTACTTTTTAAATTCATTAAATTTCACATGCAATTCTTTTTCGCAAACCTTCTTTGAAGTCGCCAATAATTTTTGTATTAAAGCAATGCTAGTCATGAACATCTCTCTCTCTCTCTCTTTTTCTCTGACTTTACTGTTTTTTATGAAATTTTTTCTACGCCTTAATCCATTCAGACATAAGAATCAGGTTTATGCTTTCAGGTAACTTTCTCCAGCTTACAATGTCGCAACACGCCGCAACAGCACGCAAATCCAAAGTTCCACCACCACCAACAACTACTGGAAATGCTGCATCAGTTGTCGCCACCGCTTCATCACCAATAATGGCCTTCAAATGAATAATCCGAATCGAGCTGAAGCACTGAACGACTTGAATGGATCCTATGTAGATCAAATCGATGTAGAAGAGGTGAGCAGATTTCGATTTAAAAAATTTTTTTTCTGTTTCTATTGAGAAACAAAGTCTGAAAATTCGTATGATTTTGAAAAAACTGTTTTTTTTTTCAAATAATAATTTATTTTTTAGGAAACGATCCAACATCCGCCAACTTCTGCAAACAGGAGACAACGTGTCTTCAGCGATTCGGATTCAGACGTTTTTTATGAGGACCGCGAATCGTCACCACGCAGCCACCAAACGACGATAAATTCCGACATGTTGACACAGTCGCAATATGAGTTAAGAGCTCGCATTCTCCAGACGCTCGGAGTTGACAACAATCAACAAGAAGCCCGTGTTCGATTGCCACATTCTTCTCAAGAATTTCACAAATCGCCAACTCGTGAAGTCGACGATGAATTGCGAGAAGTGTTGAGACGCCGAAAATCGGGAATTATAATAAAGCAAGACGAGTTTGAGGGAGAGCCTTGCCATTCAATAACCATCACAAACGCTTGCTTCGGTCATATTTTTCACGCTGAGCGAACGGAGGACACTGTGAAAATATACAGAATCATCGCTCCGCAAATTGTGGAAATCGAGCACGATGCAACCATCGATATTCTACATCGAGCACAGGCACCCGATTTTGATCGTGAATGGGCTGAACGCCAACATGCCCAAGAAATGATCAGGCGACCTGTGAGACGATCGCCTTCTTGCCGTCATCCGAGAGTTTCACGGCCAGCTGAAAATGTGCTCAACCAAGCCCCATATTCTCCAACAAGAACACCAGAACCACCTGCACAACGGATAACATTGGAACTTTTAGCTCGTCTTGCCGAACCCATTCGACCAGCTCGAGTGGATCCAGTGGTTTCGCTTGTTCCAGTAGCTCCACATGCTTCATCGGCTTCTGTGGTTCCGGTTCCTCCGGCTCCACGTGCACAACCAGCGCAACATTCTTCACTGGCACCACGGGTACAATCAGCATAACTTGGACGGCCAACTCAAAACAGAAAACGTGTCGCTGCAGTTTCTGCTTCGCCAACACAAACTGCACCACCGCCAAAAAGAACATCGCCAAGAAACAGAAATTCTGGAAAAAATCGCCTCAGCATCGATTCATCAATATTATACGGAGTTTTTAGGAAACGGCAGGCACGCAAACGCCGTGCTAAGAGTTGCCAGAACGCAAAGTATCGACAATCGCCAACCTCCGCTGGACAGAGTTAGTAAAACCGAAGCCAGATTCGATTGCAACAGCATCACAGACGTCCGCCAACGTCTGGATGCTATTAAAAACGCGTTGGATTCCCGCAATTATAGTCACGCATCGCTTGATCTTCTTGCCAAACATCAAACGCTTGTCAAGTCTGCACGATCATACGATTCTACTCCGACACAGGCAAAGCTCCAATCGATATACAAAAAAGTTGTCGATTTATCGGCAACTAGTGGGCTCAAAGCCCACTAATTTCGTGAGTTTCTTTATTTTCTAAAATAAAAAAAAATAAATTTTTATAATTTTTAGGCCAAGGCAGGCACCATACATCTTCAACAACTTCCCTGGCAATACATCTTCAACAACTTCCCTGGTGCCAAATATGTATATATAAAAAAAAAAGAAATTTTTTAAATGTAAGTTTTTTATAACAAAAAAAAAATCAACTTTCAAAAACTATTTACTTTCAGAAGAACAATTCAATTTGGAACCCAGTTCAACATCTCTGGTCATAAGAAAGACATTGCGAAGCTATTCTGGAACTCAGTTCAACAATTTGCCAACATTTTGGCTGATTAACATGTTTGGAACACAGTTCAACAACTTCAAAAGTCTGTCAGTTTATTTTTTCTGTGTTTTTTCTTGTATTTGTTACTTTTTAATTCTCTTCCCCCACTAACTAAAGAAATACTTAAAAAATATTAATTTAAAAAAACGTTTTCCCTTTTATTGTTAAAACAATTTCAATAGAAACTAGGATAGAAATTAGAATAAAAATTATAGAGAGGTACAACCCCCAGACTTCCAATTAGTTTGTAATTTTGGAATTTGGTGAGAATTTTTTCTAGATTTTTCAAAAGTTTCAAGCTGGTAGTTCTCTTTTTTAGGAATTCTAAAAGCTAGCCTACGGTAAGATAAACTGATTTATTTCCGAAATTTTTTTTTTATCCGAAATTTTAGGTGTTTTTCGGTAGATTTTATGGGGTTAAATTAGTGAATCATATTTTGTAATATGGATGGAGTGGAAATTGTTAGGGAATTTGGAAAAGTATTTGGGACAAGGTCGATGTGATTGATTTTTTGAGAATCTTTGAGTTTTGGACCTGCAAATTCATTTTTCTAGAGGTAAGTTTTTACTTGTAGGTTAGTTTGAGAATAAGGCATCTAGAAACTCAAAAACTGTAGGAGACACCACCCGATCGGGATTTTATTAAAAAGGTAGAAATTAACAAAGCTTTATTTTAACCTCAGCAAAAATGAATCTTTGAGTTTCTAAACCAATCCAGCTTGCTCTGATTTTGTCCTCGTCCAAATGTGCTGTCCCATGTGTTGTCCCAGTTGTTTTCTTGTCTTTTTTTAGATTTCACTTTCACATCAGAGCAAACTTGATTGGCTGACATTTGTTTTTTATTATAATGCGTTAACTTTCTAGGTGTAGCGAGAAACGGTTTGCGGGTTTGAGGCCCGGAGGTTTTCGAGGAATCTTTCATTACGTAGATCCCCCAAAAACTGAAAATTTTCTAATAGTTTCCATCTTCATCAAATTCACTAGGTTAACTTCATAAAACTCTCCCGTAGAACACTTGAATTTTTGGCAAAATTTATTAGTTTATCCTGTTTATGAAGCGCAACTTTTCGAATTTCTAAAATTGAGAATCCATACGGTCTTTTGAAAAGTTTAGGAACTTTTTTTCATCATTTTCCAGATTAGGAGCTATGCGGAACTGGGGGTTTTTCAGTTTAAAATATTCGAAATCGCTATCCTAGTTTTTATTTCCTCTCCACTCTCTCATACATTTTTTCTTTATAAATATGGTTTTTTCCTAAACATTGTAATAACATTATTTCTTGTATGTAAATATTGTGAAAAGAAACTATTTTTGCTGTTGTTTTTATTTAAAAGTTTGAAACTTTTCAAAATATCTGATTTGTTTCCATTGTAATCTACCCCTTTCAGGTCACCACTTCTTCAACACATTTATTTTTAAAGGTAAAATATGTGTTTACACTTTTCATGTTTTATGTTCAACAACTCTACTCGACTCTTGAAAGGTAAAATTTGTGTTCACCTAGCACTTTGTGTCGACTTCGAAATGCTTAATTCTTCGAAGGTAAGATATGTGTTTGCACCTCTCAGATTGCTAGCTCAAACATCGGCTGCTTTCTAAAACATCGGCTCTAACATCAACTTCTCTTCGCAGTTTTTGAAATAAATGTGTTTCCACAGGCAATAACGGAAGGATCCATAATGTGCACCTTATGGATCCATCACCTCGAGGGGGCTTGATGGATCCATAATCGATCCATAATGGATCCATTATTGATCCAGTATGGGTCCATTATGGACACAGGCAATAACGGAAGGATCCATAATGGATCCATTATGGATTCATCAAGCCCCCTCGAGGTGATGGATCCATAAGGTGCACATTATGGATCCTTCCGTTATTGCCTGTGTTTCAAACATCAGAGGTTAGTCAAAATTTGCATTAATTAGAATAATCAATTCGATTGATTTTCAGAATACCAGTTGCACTTGTTTCCTCGTCAATTGATCCGATATCTTGTCAATTTTTTGAATCGATTTGACTGAATTTGGCATTTGAGAAAAATGAATGCAGCTTGATATCAATTGTATGTCAAAATGTGAGTATTTTTCTGTATCTTAAGCGCCATTCACTTTTCAAATATCTGGTACACTTCTACCTGGGGTTTTTTTAAAGCGAATACGTAATTCATCTGCGGTTATTTTCTAAACTAGAACGCCTAAGAGCTGTTGAAACCTACTGCAATTCAGTTTTTGAGTAAGGATTTTTCATCAAATCCCTTTTCTGTTGCTAGTATGCTACGACAGGTGTAAATATGATTAGGGTTTTATTCAGCTTTCTAAACGTAATCTAATAAAGTTGGAATCACGGTTTTTTTGATTTTCATTTAAAAAAATCTGATCAAACTATTTTCAGGCTTTGTGAATTGCAACATCATATCAATCACTAGCGGTTCTCCGATTACTTCGTTAGATCAAAATCTTATCGATTTGATTATTGGATTTGGCTAGTCAAAAAACCAGAGTTGACCAGTAATTGGTTTGAATGATTTTCCTGTGCTTGCAAAACGACAATACAATATTTCTAGAAACCAATGCTCCTTCACAACTCATCACTGATTGCATTAAATTTCAACAAAGAAATCTTGCCAACCAGGAATTGATTCAAGTTTTAGTACAGGTACGTCTATAGAGAAAAAATTGAAACAATTTGCAAATTTTCAGTAATCGATTACAAGAGATTTTGCAACTCAATACTTGCTATAATTGTGGACTGCAACAATTTTTGTAACAAACTAAACCAGCAGGAAAGTCCTTGTGAGTTTTTTTGGATGAAATTTCAAGGTTGACATTTCAACTCTTATGTTTGCTGAAATTAGTAGCAATTATTTCATTTTCAGCTTCAAATATTGGTCAAAAACATTGAAATCAAAGCCCAATTTTGGAATTAGTGATGAATCACGTATATCCAGGACCCGAAGTTGTATCTTCGGTAAGTTTTTTTCTAGAGAAAATTACATAGTTTCTTTGGAATTCTCTTTTCAGCACTAACTTTTAGTAAAAAACAGGGGAACCTCTGCCCAAATTTTGAATTTTTATTAGAAAACTTGAGGTTTCCGAGCTGAAAATTTTAGGACTTTATTGATTTTCAGCTTTAATTTTTAGTCAAAAACAGGGGAACCTCTGCCCAAATTTTGAATTTTTATTAGAAAACTAGAGCTTTCCAAGCTGAAAATATTATGTGTATAATTCATTTTCAGCACTAACTTTTCCAGTTTTTTGATGTGAAAAAATTATTTTAGTTAAGTTGTCAGTATTTCGTAATCCACCATATGAAAAATAATTCATATGTATTCTCTTCTCGAAATAACACAACATATTTTGAGTCATAGAACATTTAACCAACTAACTAACTAATAGTTCACTTCCCACGAACTTTTGATTCAGAGTTTTTTTCAAACATTCATTCAGTTTCGTAACACTGTTTGTTGAGAATAATGAATCACCTATATTTTCAAACCCCCAATAAATTTACCACTTCATTTTTACTCATAAAACACGTCATCAACTATTTCTTCGTATATTTTTACAATGTTCACTAAATTTCACACAGTTTCCAGCCAAATCGCACTTATATTTCTTTGCGTCTCCAAATTTTCAACAATCTCTAATCCCAAGTTTTCTCTCCGCTAAAAACTAGGCATTTACAACGCTCCAATGTTTCCGTCCCTGTGACAATTTCTGTTTTTCTCTGCAGTTTCTCATGCTCATTGATACTCTAGATGAAGAAAAATGGCCGGGTTGTGGAGGAAAAATGTGTGGGAAACTGAATACATATATAATACTGGATTTAGAATGAGGTGTAGTGTGTGAAAACTTTTGAGAAAACACTATTTAGAAACTGGGAAATGAGAGGTAAAATTGAGCGATGGGAGTTTGAAGAAGGATTCAAATGACTCGGAATTTTGGGTGGAAGCGCTTCGGCGTTTTTACTTCGAGAACTTTAAGAGATGATCAGTTTCCAGACGCTGAAATTATCCACATTATTCTTATCATTCAATACGTGGGGTTATTTTTAGTTTCTATAAAAAATATTTCAGAATTATCTATCCCAATATTGTTTTTATCTGACTGAATAAGAACTTACCACAAGAGCTCAGATTTCAGCCGAAATTAAACCTTTTAAGGTTTTCAGAAGTTTCGGAAAATGTTCCAAATCTATTTTAAGATAGTTATATAAGCATTTGATGTGGTCCAAAAGCTCACTGGAATGTATCAAAAATGTTCATTGGTATTAATTTTTCAAATGTCAAAATCATATTTTGCAAACTAGTTTCAAAGATCCTTAAAAAATTTTCTTTCTTATTAAATCTCTCGTCAATAAATTAATATTAATAAGTCCCTTCATTTCCAGACATCTTTGCCCCCTTTCACTCATCTTTACTCTATTCAAATAATATATTTTTTCTCAATTTTAATTTCGACTAGCCACGTGGCAAAACAACCTCTTCCGCATCATCATCTTTCTCTCTTTTTTTCAATAACAGATAGCCAAAACGTGATGACTCATTGCACTTTACGAAATGTGAAAGACAGAATTTGTTATGAAATTTTGCCTTGATTTTTTGGAGCAACCTTGCGGCAGGCACAATGCCCTTTGATTTGATTACATTTGAAAAATTGATACCGGAAACTTCAATTTTCCACTACTTTTCCCATTCCTTTACCACCTTTCATTTCTTATTTTTCAAAAAAATATATAGAATGTGTATATAAACAACATGTTTTTGTTTACAATTTCAGCTGCTGCCATTCTGTTGTTGTTTTTTGTTTTTCATTCCCATTTTTTCAATAATTTTACTTTTCTTAAATACCTGTTTTCTCATATAATTCATCGAAAACAGATGTTATCAACAAAAAAGTTTTTTTGAGGTTAAGGTAAAGGTCGAGGCCGAATTTGATGTTGGATAACGGCCACCCATCATGAAAATGTTAGAGCTCTGAAGCCCCTCTAAGCTCTCTTTTCTTCTCA